GAGGCAACCTCTACCTGTCCCAGCCTCTCCCGGGTGATCTTTCTCATGCCCTCCTGGGGTGGGCTGGCCTTGCAGAATTCCTGCAGCCCAGGCCCGGTGAGCAGAAGGTAAACAGAGGACCAGAGTGGCCTGATTGTGGGCTTGCTGGGGAGGAGAGAGGGATGAGAGCCTTAACCAGAGAGACCCCTGGAAAAAGGGAGTAGTGGGCATCGCTGCTCCTCAACGCCTGCCCGAGCATCTGAGGAGCATGGGGGAAGAGAGGTTGTGGCTTTGTGTGTGTGTGTGAGTATATTTTCCTGGAAAGTTTATAAATAGTTCCAGCCCACTGTTCTGGTTTGAAATCTGCCCTATCCCTCCCTGCCCTGCTCCTGGCAGGGTAGGGGGTCTAAAGGGGCCAGGTCTTTGTTTCTGCCAGGGCTGGAGTCCCCATCGCCATCCCCATCCCCCACAAGTTGAGCTTGAGTTTGGGTATCATTTGCATATGATTCATTGATTGTCTAGAATGCTTAGGAAACCCCCTGTCTCCCCTTCTTTTAAGCTCCCCAATCCTGGTTTCCTTCTCTCAGCCCCTTGGGACTGACTGCCTGACTTCTATTTCTTGGCAGCCATTGTTGTGGGGGAACCAGGGGAGCAGAGAGGAGAGAGTGATTGAAGAGGGGCTGGGTCAGCTGGGTTTGGGGATCCCTGGCTCCTCCCCTGAGGATAGGGGAGGAAATGGTCAATTTCTCTTCCCCTCCTCTCCTCCCCATATCCAAAGGTTTCCCTTTTTTGGTTTGTGAAATGAAAGAAGGGAATTTGGGAAAGGGTTGTGGTTGGGCCTCCACCCACACCCCCCGAGTATCCCTCTCCCCACATCCCTCTCCTCAGTCTGGGGGAAGCAGACCCTGGAAAATGGGTAATTCTCCCTCCCAGCCCTGTCAACAGATGCTAGCCCTGGTTGAGGAGAGGGAAGGGAGAGCAGACACCCTGCCCAGGGAGGCTCTGGGTGGTGTTGAGAGGCATGTGGAGGGCGGGACCTGGTTGCCCAGCACCTCCTGTGTGCCAGGCGCAGTTCTAGGTGCTTTCCAGGACTTTTATCTCTGAAATCACACAACCAAGTTGTTGAGGTAGGCAGTTCACAGGCAAGTAAACAGATGCTTAGAGAGGTTAAGTGACTTGCCTAAGGTCACCCAGAGTGGCAGAGCTGAGATTTGACCCTTCAAACCTCTGGTTCTTTCTATCATCTTCATGGCTCAGCCAGCTCCTGGCTTTTCCTCTAGGCGTGTGACTGTGGGGAATATAACAAATGGGTGGCTGGGGACACCTGACCTTGGGAAGGGATTCTGGCACCTTTTCAGGGTGTGGGAGGCCCCAGCGGTCAGGGGTGTGTGGCTGGTGGCAGGCACTCTAGCCCCCACCCTTTTTCTGCTGTGCTGAGGCTAGGCTCAGTGTATTGGAGGTGTGGACCTGTGGTTTTTCTCTCCCTCAAGGGAGGGTGCCCGTGGGCAGTGGAGGTGGAGGGCATAGGGTGGAGATTGGATGTGGGTAGTTTGTTTTCCCTTTCTTTGGTGCTGGTTTCGATTCTCTGACGGTATCTCCTCCACCCCTGGGTGCAGGGGGCCAGGGCCCAGGATATCCTTGAGGGTCATGGCTCCAGAGGGACCTTCTGGGACACAGTCTGTGCTTTTTGCCTCCGTCTCCATCATGCCTGCCCTTGCCCATCCCTGTTCCCTGGCCAGCCTGGCCCTTGGCCCATATCTGTGACCTTTACCCCCTCCTGCTGCTGAAGGCCCTCCCCAGGGGGCTGAGTAACGTTGCACCAAAGTTTGCAGGCTGAGCTGGGTTAGGCCAAGTGAGGCTCAGATGGGGTGGGAGGGCCTTCCAGCCTCTCCCTGGGGTGTGTATCTGGGGGGAGGGCTTGGGAGGGGTTTGATGTTTGTTCCAATTTCAGACTTCTTAGGGGCAGAGTTGAGGCACTAAAGTGGTTGTAGTTACCTCTCCTCTGGGGCAACAGTGGGCTCCAGGGGGTCTGGACTAGACTGAGTGAATGTACCCCAACCCCCAGAAGCCGGGTCAGGATGACTGGGGTCTGGAGTGCATGACTTTCTGAGTCTCGCCTCAGGGAGGCAGGCCCCTGTATGGATGTGAATTATCTAGTGTATTTCTCAGAGGGTACACCTCTGTGTGTTTGTGGACCTGGGTGCGTGTAGGTGGCTGGGCCCCCAGGGAAGCATGTACAGAGGCCAGCCTGGCTGTGTGACAGTGACGGATGTACAGCTTGAGAAACTGTGGGGCTGTGGTTGTGTGTCTGCGGGGTGCTGTGTCCTGGGGCTGGGCACGCAAGCCCTGAACTGTGTTCTTTGTGTGGTAGAGCCCAGGTGTGGAGAGATGATTATCTCCAGGTTCCCTCTTCTCCTGTGCGTGCCCGCACACACACAGACTAGGTGTGCAAGCGTGCTCTTGCCCACCTGTACACTTTCCACAGACCTGTGTGCATGAGTTTCTGCGTGAGAGTGTGTGTGTGTGTGTGTGTGTGGTGTACGTGTGTATGAGGGTCTGTCAATGCTGATGAACTCAGCCAACCCCCCTCCCCTTGCCTTGCCTGGCTCTCCCTGCTTGAGTTCCGTTGTGTGTTGTGTGGGGCCCCACAGGGGTGTGGGGGGCCCAGGGCGGCAGCTGGCCCGATGGGTGGGGCCCCTGTTTCTCTGACGTCATCCCTCTCAGCCTGGGAGGGAATCTGCAGGGGCCTGGGGAGGGAAGGGGCACCTCATTCAGGAGTAAGGAGAGAGGTCTGATGGTTGTCATATTTAGTAACAGTAAAAACCATGGTCATTAACAAGGTCCAGGTTTCACTCCTCGGGGAGCTGCTGCCGCCCCCTGCCCCCCAGCAAGTACCTGTCCCCACCTCCCTCTCCCTCAGCCCTGCGAAGGCTGGCTGACTGGCCCAGAAGTCCTGGCCTCGTCCACAGTGGCCTTGGCAGCAACTCCCCCTCCCCAGGCATGGTCCTTGGCCAAATGCTGGCCATGTGCTTGTCCGCTGGACTCCAGGTCTGAGTGGAGCCTGGAGCTTGGAACCTAGTATGGCTTGAGCTTGGGGGGAAGGGGTTGGAAAGGGAGGCAGTCCTTATTTTGGGTCTCTGTGGCCCTGTTTCTTTTCCCTTCCTCCCTTCTCTCTTTGTCTCTCTCGTCTTTTTAACAGCTTTATTGAATTAATTCATATATCATAAAATTCATCCATCAACGTGTACAATTGAATGGTTTTAGTATATTCACAGAGTTGTGTAACTTAACCACCACACTCAATTTTAGAAAATTTTCATCACTCCAAAAAGAGCCCGCATACCCATCAGCAGTCACTTCCCATTCCCCTCAAACCCACTCCCCAGCCCCTGGTAACCATAATCTACTTTTCTGTCTTTACAGATTGCCTATTCTGCATGTTTCATATACATGGAATCACACAGTGTGTGGTCTTTTAGAACTAGTATGTATTCAGGGTTTATCCACGTTGTAGTATACATCAGTACTTTGTTCCTTTTTATGGCAGAGTAATAGTCCATTGTATGGACGGACAACATTTTACTTATTCATTCACCAGTTGATGGACATTTGGGTCCACTTTTGGGCTAGTGTGAATAATGCTTGTATGCACATCCACATATAAGTTTTTGTGTGGACTTCTGTTTTCATATCTCTTGGGTAGATACCTAGGAGTGAAATGCTGGGTCATTATATGGTAATCCTGTGTAAAACCTTTAGCCAGACTGTTTTCAAAAGCAGCTGTTCTAGTTTACATGCCCACCAGCAATGTATGAGGGTTCCAATTTTTCCACATCCTTGCCAGCACTTGTTATTATCAGTCTTTTTGATTATAGTCATCTTAGTGGATGTGAAGTGGTATCTCATTGTGGTTTCGATTGGCCATGTTTCTTTTTGTCTGTCTCTTTTCTTTTGTATATATCCGTGTGTGTGTGTGTGTGTGTGTGTGTGTGTATTCATACATGTATTTATCTGTATGTATATTGATCCTCCCATGGCCCAAATGGATTTGAAGCATCCTCTTGTGGATCTGTTTCTCTTTTTCCATCCTTCTCTTTGTTGTCCATCTCACTGTGTTGTGGAGTCTCTGGGTTCATCCCTCTGTCTCTCTCTACCCCATGGTGTTATCTGTGTATGTCCTCTGGTCCCAGCTGTTCAAACAGGGTGTGGATCTGTATACACACTGGTAGGGGGTATCTGTCCTTTCATCTCCAGCCCAGCTCCCACTCCCTCGAGGGATGTCGCATCTGCAGAGAGAGCATGTGGGTGAACTCTGAGATCAGTCTCTCTCCCACCTCTCCATTGCCTGGGGGTAGGGAGTGTCCACCCTGGGCAGTCCCTGCCCTCCTGACACACTGCCCACCCCCAGCCCATCATGCTGTTACATACTGGGGGTGATGCCCAGGAGTCTTCAGTTCCCATTTCCCTATTTCATGTATGTAAACAGGCCTCCTCCCTGGGCTTGTGGGACAAACCCAACTGGGGTGCTGGGGCTTGGATTTGGGGGGGGGGGAAGTGGTGTAAGACGGGCCCCCTGGCTTAGGAGTCATTTTTCTGAGAAGTGCCAATGCTTTAGGGAAGCGGCTTTTCCTCCCCCTCCCTACCCCTCTGCAGTACACGTTCTCTGCATTTTGACCTCAGGTAACCTGCACTGGGGGAAGGAGAGCCAGCTGCCTGCCTCTGCTGCAGGGAACCTTTGGGGTGACACTGTGGACCCTTTCCCCTCAGGATTGTGGGTGAGAGGCCCTCCTCCGCTCTGGGCTCTGTCCCCATCTCCCCAGCCTGGCTGTGCTGTCCTGCCACCCCCAGCAGTGTCTGGGCCCTGGTCCCAGGCTGTCTCTGCCAGCCAGGCATGGTGCCAACTGTCTGCTCAGCTGGGTGCCACGGGAAAATCTCCGGCTGCCCAGGTTGGGGAGCTCCACGGGGAATGCCCGCGTGCCCGCTCCTCAATGCCCACTCACCTGTCTTTCCTCTTTCTGCAGCATCACAGGATATGGCCCCCCCAGCCGCCTAGCCGGGGCCCATCTAGGAGAGGCATCCTTTTTGACGTCCTGAAGGCCTGCTCTGGACCTTCCCAGGAAAGCACCAGCTCACAGAACTGCTTGACCAAAGGACCGGCTCTTGGGACGTCCCCCAACCTACCCGGCCCCCAGCTAGAGTGGGGGCTCCAGGAGGCTGAGATTAGTGTACTAGCCTTGGACAGCAGCTCGAGGACGGAAGAGGGGGTGGGCTGACCACCTAAACCCCCTCTGGGCCCAGGCCCCATGCCCCGAGGAGGGGTAGCCTGAAGCCCACCAGAGCCCCCTGCCAGACTGTTTGCCTGCCCTTCTGACTGTGGCTGCTTGGCATGGCCAGCAACAGCAGCTCCTGTCCAACGCCTGGGGGAGGGCACCTCAATGGGTACCCGGTGCCCCCCTACGCCTTCTTCTTCCCCCCTATGCTGGGTGGACTCTCCCCACCAGGCGCTCTGACTACCCTCCAGCACCAGCTTCCAGTTAGCGGCTACAGCACGCCCTCCCCAGCCAGTAAGTGGGGTGGTGGGCGGCTCGGTGGGGTGGGGGGCTGTGGAGCGCAGCAGGCCCAGGGCTTGGCCTCTGGGTGCATCTGTTGCGCTGCAGTGGCAAGGTCTTCTCAGGACATGCCATCCGTTTGGGGGGCCCAAGGATGAAAGGCTTGTAGGCTGATCACGTGGTGGTGGTGTTTGATGTTGGGGGCAGCAGAGGGAGAGATGAAACAATGCTGTTCTGTGGTAGGTACCCCTGGAGCCCTCTCCTGTGCCCTGCTGTTGAGGGCCTTATAAATAGCTCAAGGACTGGACACAGAGGCTGGAGGCGGGTAAACAAACCTCTCGACATTTGGTGGAAATGCAGCTCTACTGAGAGCAGCACCCACCTACGCCCCACCCCATCCAGTGCCTCTGAGCAAAAGGGCTTGAAGGAGTAGAGGGGCGGGCAGGCTGCTGGAACCCCCTCCCATTACCAGCTCCACCCCGTGTGGAGGGTGTGAGGGAGGGACCCACGAGCAGCCTGGTGGGCAGGGTGAGTGTCCCAGGAGGGGCGCTGGGCCTGGACTCTGGCTGTGGACACATGCACGCTCTTGGCAGGGCCTGTGTTTTCTCTCCGCCTCTGCCCTTTACCACCGGGGTTGCCTGTTAGCTGGGAGGGGGTCTCAGTACCCTTCCCTGGCTGGCCGAGCCAGGTAGTGGGAGGTGGCGGTGGCTATGGCCAGCTGGCAGAGTCTAGGCCTTGGGCCTGCCAGGCCGCTTACAGTAACTCTGGCCCCCAGGGCCCAGCTGGGCTCCAGGCCAGGGCTGGGGGGGAGGAGGGAGCCGGGGCCTGGCCTGGGGCTGGAGGGGGGGCGGTGGAAGCAGCAGAATAGGCCATGGACTGGTAGGCTGGCCGGTCAGCTGCTGACCTGGGAAGTGTGTCCCACCTCTCCTGGCGGGCAGGGACTGAACACCCTGCCCCGGGCACCCACTGCCCCTCCTACCACCACTGGCAAGCTGCCTGGCACCACTGCCCTGTGTGCCTGGCTGGGCTGGGTCAGTGCCCCCTTTTCAGGGTGGGGGCAGCACACTCTTCCCAGAGCCAGGGAGTCTCTTTGTCCCTGGGGCAGGCCCTGGCTGGGCGCCTCACTGCCCGCACTGGCCGTCTGCCCACCGCCACCGCTGCTTCCTGGATTGCTTGCTCTGGCTCTGCCATGGCCCCCTTCCTCCCAGCCCCAACTCAGCCCTTGGGAGCAGGGGCTCTGTGTCTGCACTTCTTTAGGCCCCTTCCCTTTAATCTCTGGGACAAGGGGGCAATCAGATACTGCCTCAGTTTCCACTGCCACCCCTTCTCACATCTCCGTTTTCTATTTTCTCTCTCTCTTCTGTCCTCCTCACATAGGATGTGAGGCGGTGGCATAGTGACTTGGAATCGAGAACCCGATTCTGGCCTGGCCTTCCAGCCTGTGCCAGGCGATGGAGAGGCTGGGGAGTAGGTGGGAGTGATCATGGTTCCTAGTGTCTGTGTCGGCTAGTTGCTGCGTCTACAGGGACTGTGGTTCATTATTTTCAAGTGGGTAACTGGAGTGTCTGCTTCCTGCCAGAGTGGGGTTTTTAGGACGGGAGAAGTTGAGGGCCATAACCATTGCCGGTGGACAACTTGTCCTTCCCCGGGTTATGGGAGCAGAGCCCCAGACACTCTGCTCACCTGGACTCAGAGGGTGAGAGGGCGCCTGGCTCTGGTCCTTGCTCTGTTCTCTGCCAGAAAAGCGAAGGCTTTGCTGTCCTCTGAATGTTGCAAGCTTCTTCCTCTTTCTTAGAGTTGGGTGGGGAGAGCTTCCGGGTTCCCCACTTCCCACCCTGGTAACCTTTTCCCCCAGGGTGGAGTGCCCACATTTCGGGCAAGTGGAGGCTTCTCTGGCTTTCCCCACCCAGGTTAGGCAATGCCCCTTCCTGCCCCCTCCCACTGTGAGCCTGTGGGTTTCCCTGCTCCTACCCCCTTCCTAGTAAACAAACAGCTTCCCTTCCTACCCAGACCCACAGCTCCTGACTTTCTTTCTGACTTTCCCTTTTTCTGGGACTAGAGGCATCTCCCTCCTCCTCGTGCTGGGCTGGGGGGCCTGGCTCTCAGCTCTGGGTAGCAAAGCATGACAGATCAAACTTCACACGCGTGGGAAATGGAGGCAGCCTTGCCTTCCCTGTGCTCCCTGCTCGGGGCTGGTGCGGCAGTCAGGCAGCTCCTAGGAGAGGTGGACATCGGTGGCCCTGATTTCTGCAGGGAGCAGTTACAGCCTCTGGTTCTCTGCCAGCCTTTTGTAGGAAACGCCACTGATAAGGCTCCCTCCTCCCACTTCCCACCAACAAAGGTGTTGGGACAGTCCTCCTCTCCCTCCCATCCCTCTCCCCAGGTCTGGAGGAGGCTGGACCTTGGGTGTCTTGGGTATACCCTTCATAGACCCTGTGGAATAACAGAAATATTCTCCAGGTCACTGTGGGGAGAGGTGGGTATTGGTCCTGCTGTAGTCTCTCTAGGAGCCAAAGTGGGAGTTCCCAGAGATGGCATAGGATCCCCCCACCCCAAACCAGCCCCTGAGGCTGGCTCTCTGAGGATTAGTATTTGCTGTGGAGAGCTGGATTCTGTGTGTATTGTGGGGAGGGTCAGGGTTGTGTGTTTTAGGGGTGGGGGGGGTTAAGGTTGGGTGTGTGTTGGGAAGGGAGTTAATGGTTTGTGTGTATTGGGTGGGAGGGTCAGAAAGTTGAGTGTGTTTTGGGAGAATCATCCAAAGCTGGGGAAGGGGTATCAGTTAGCTTGTTTGTATGCTGGAGGGGTTTGTGTGCTGCAGGCGGTGGTGACTTAGAGCACAGAGTGTTTAAGGGGGGAGTGGTCTGTGGATTATGTTGTGTTTGGGGAGGGTCTCTAATTCTTATCATCTAGGCTGGAGGGGAAACTAACCTGCCTTTTTTGTTGCTTACCCCAGGAATTCCACGGTGGTGGTGGGGGGGAGGCATGCTGTGGAGAAGGCAATGTAGTTTGAGTTTGAGCTTTGCCACTTTTACCTCTGATAACCTTGCTGAGCATGTTTCCTCCTCTGTAAAGTGCGGGTATTACCAGAACCTCCCTCGGAGGGCTGAGATTAGTCAAGACCATTGACGTAATGCGTTCAGCTCCATGCTGTGCTTGTGGTCACTGCTGTCTTATTGCCGTGGTACTGCTGCAGTGACAGTGAAAAGGGGTGGCCCTTTCGAGGTGGGAGTTGGAGCAAACGGGATGCTAACATCTTTGGAGCACCTACTGGGTGTGGGACTTTATCTCTGTTTTACCAATCTTAATCCCTACACTCCTGGGAGAGGGACATTATCTCCATTTACACATGAAGAAACAGCACTAGTTAAGGTTGCTACGAGGTTCAGTGACCGGGAAAGGAAAGCTGGGCTCTTTTCCGTCATCCAGATAGGCACGATATTGTGGGGGGCACTCCAGGGTGTGGGGAGTCTTGGTGGGGGGGGGCAATGTTGAGGTCCCCTCCCTCATGGCTGAGGCCTCCCTCCTTCTTCCCCCAGTAGGGGGCATGGGAAGGCCCACAAGCCACGCCCCCTCATCTGTTTTGGATCCTGAAAGCTGGAGGAAAAAGAGCGATAAGAGGCTTTGGGCCCGATCACTGGTCCTGTCCTGGAAGCTGACGATAGGATCTGTTCACACCCATCCCACCTCAGAATCTACCCATTGCAGCCCATGGGAGTTTGCAGAGCCCAGCAAGCGGCAACCTTCCCCCATCCCCACTGTAGGAACGGTGTAAAAGCCACCGTTCTTATTTTGTTTCAATTTGTGGAGTGGGGAAGGGAAGTTGTAAGCAGTCAGTAGAGGAGCCTGGGATGGGAGTCCCCAAAAGACTGGCTCAGACTTACTTTCTGTCCACATAGTCCCTGTGTGTGCCTAGAGACTGGGGAATGGCTCTAGGGGTCCAGGGTCTAGGGGACCTTGGGGAGACAGAGGAGGGGGTGTGCCCTTCTCCTCTTCCTCTCCTCTGCCACTCCCTCCCCTTTGCAGTCAGAGTCCTCCCTCTCTCACTCCTGCCCACTTTTTCCCGGGACAATAGGAGGGACAGCCCAGGGGGAGGGGGTACTGCTAGCAATGACTTTCCTAGGGTCCAAAATGCAGTTAGCCAAAAGACTGTTGGATGGGGTTTTGAATGAAAATGGGGCGCCTTCACCTTTTATCTGGCAGCATTGATAATGCACAGGCAACCTCAGGGCAAGATCCCAGCATGGTACAGGGGAGGGGACTCAGGAAAGGAAGCCGGTCCTCCTCTTTAGACTGGCCAGGACCTGAGACATTGTGTCTACCCCATGCAAAGGGCCGTGTGCCCAGGGGAATGAGCTAGTGCAGGCCCTGTCTACCCTTGGAGGGGAGGGTAACATCTGTGGAAAGAGGAAGTGTTTCCCTCCTTCAGATCACTTTGGGGCAGTGCCCACCACTGCCTTCTTCCTCCTCCTCCTCCTCCCCCTTCCCCTCCCCCGAGTCTGGGCATAGCCAGTGAAGCTGGGTCTTCCAGGGTGGACTGGAGGCCCTCAGACCTGGCTAGATCAGAAAGAGGCCCTCCCCACCCCATTTGACTTTTGGGTTGCCAGGAACCTCAACCAGCCCACAGACCAAGGCCCCCATGGGCAGAAATCTTAAAGGACAGCTCTTCCTGTGAAGACTTGGGCAGGTCACCCAGCCTCTCTCTGGGTCTGTTTCCTCCTCTTTAAAATAAGACTAGTAATCCGTCCCTGGCTGGGTGAGTTGCTGTGAGGCCATCGTGACCTGCTTGCTGGTGAGGACCTGGGGGAGCTTCAAGTACTCAGCAAGAGCAGTGATGATGAGGAGCTGTGGGGCCGGGCATTGTCTTCGGGGATGGCCACCCCCATACTGGGACCCGCTGTCCGTCTGGCTCCAGGTCTCATGATTTCCTGTTTGTTATCACCTCCAGATGGGGTCTGGACAGGAGGGAGCCCTGCCTGGCACAGGTGGAGGCCAGTTAAGCCCACACCTGCTGAGGG